TGGCAAGTTAATTTTTTATCATATTTATAACAAAGATGGGCATCATATGTCTTTAACTTTCATTTCCCTTATTTCTCTTTTTGTTATTGTTTGTTGCTTGGTAATTTTTTTTCTTTTTAAAAGAAAAAACACAAACGAACCAATTTAATGCTTGGAACTGTAATAAAACAACTTAATCGCTAACTTCAAACGCTCCCCATTCAGTCTAAATATGGAATAAATTCTAGTCACAAAATTATACGCGATCACATGTTTTACCAATAAACCAATCAATTTAATAAAAAACGTTTCTTTTCTTAGCATATTCAATAATTTGAGAGGTGGAAATCTTCGCGATAAATCATTTAGACGCAGGTATAAGTTCATTTAAAAGACCATTGTAGCCCAAACATAAAAGTGATAAAATTATTTCTTGCATAAATATTGTTCTTAGAGTAAAATAATAAATTTGATTTAATTTCATATAATTATTAAAGTTTTGTTTTTGTCTATTCGGAATTTACCGCAAGGAATTCAAAAACATTACATAATCTTTGCGTCTAAATATCATTTTGGTAATTTTAAACTTTTGTCATCTTTTCTACTAAAGTAATGATCTATCAAATTAAATTAAAGAAGTTGTGTACTCTCATACACCGACGAGTAGTGATAAGGATTTTTCTTTTTTTACCTTAAAATTATTCTCATGTATTTACATATGTAAGAATAATTTTGTATGAACCTTATATTTGTCTAACATGAAACCTATCATTGTTACAATAAATTCGAGTTGTTCTTATCATTGTAATATCCAATTAAAAAAATTCTTTGTCGTAGTTACTAACCTTAAATTAATTGACAAAAAAGGAAAATAATAGCGACTTCTATCAAAAAAGCTGCACTTCTCCTTTATGATTGGCTTTTCTATTTTTATCGAGGATTGATGTATTTTAAATTTTTTTCTTTCTGAAATATGAATATTTAAACCAGAAGCTCTTTATGAATCTGAATTAATTACATCGCATATGTGGCGGATAATATGTGATGAATAGATTTTTCACTGAAATGTTTTATAAATATTAAATAAGCAAGCAATAATGAACCAATCAAAATTTTAATCATATGAAAAATAAAAAAAAAAGCTTAGTAAATTAATAATATTAATAAAATTTTATATTTTTTTAATTTAATGTTAATTTCTTGAATAATATACTAATTTATAATATAAGTTTTTTTTTATTAATAGACTTGATAGGTATTATTAATAGAAAATTTTACTTATTATGATTAATAATTATGGTAATTTTCAAAAAATAGACTAATAATAGTAATTTTTTAAAAAAAATGTAACATTAGTCAGTACTAGTAAATAATTTCTAACAACACCAGTGATAAAATGATTGGCGCTATACTATATTTGCTACTCATTTAAAATGTAAAATCTGGCCCTTGGAATGATTAAATCAATTAATAGTTTTAAACCTTTAGTAAATGGCGAAAGTTATTATACGTTCAAGTATCACTAATATTTTTATGGCGCATAAAATCGAATGAATTATAATTTTGATAATGCAGGCCGGAATTAAATAACATTGACATGTCAAGTGACTTAACACCACGCTTTTTTAAAAAATATTTTGGGTTCTGGGCGATGCATTTTTATAAATATTTGTTATGATTTTTGGCAATTCACATGATCGTAGCTTTTATAGTTAATGGTTTAAGAGTTGCGTTGCTATCGAGGAAACAATTAAGTTGCCTATTCTTTTTACAACGTCATGAACTTATTTGTGAAAATTAATATATATTATAAAAAAATTTAAATTGGCGCTAAAGTGAAATTCGCTATCTTACAATAATTTTCTGTGGATGGTGTTACATAAGGTCAAAGTATTGTATGAACTTATAAAGTATTATAATTTATTATATCTTAATTATAATAATATTCTTAATTGCGCATCAAAAGAAGAATTCTTAGGAATCCGAAAAAATGCTTATCAAAGAAAATATTTAGAAGATTCTTAATGCAAAATAAAATTAGGTGTACATATGAAATAACATACATTAGTTGTGCTTTTATCACGTCTCTCATTAATGCTATTAAGATCTTTTTTCTCTAGTTACACAAATTCTTGTAAACGAAATCTTTAGTATCATCCTGGCGGCTACTCTTGATTAATGAATTATTTTTTTTTTTTAAAAAAAAAGTGTAGGTATGTAATTATTTCCCCATATTCTACCCTGAAATATTTTAATTCTTTTTAACATCCAAACTTGCGTGATAGATTTAAAGCAACTTCTAGGTGAAACCCCAATTAGAGTGCTAAAAATATAACAGTGTCAAATAATAATAAAAGATTTCAAATTTGAAATGTTATGCGAGAAAAATAATCCTTCCTAAACTCTATCTCCAAAACTCGTGGAAGATAAGGTGATATGAAATTTGTGTAAAAAGGGCGTAATGTGATGATTAATTAAGGCTAGATATGGAAATGCACAAAATTATATGCGGACACATGCTTTATCAGGATATCAATCAACCGAAATAATTGGATCAAAAGTTATCACATTGATTATTATCACATCTTTGCAGTATTTTAATTTGGAGAAGTGAAAAAACTACGCGAAAATTGCTTTTTAGAATACAATTATGTTAAAACAAAGTGGGACACCGAATTAACTGTATAAGTAAGTTCATTTAAAGTTTAAAAAAGGCATTTCTAACCTGTATTAATTTATTTCTTGCATAAGTATTGTTCTCAGAATAAAATTATACCAATTAAATGATTCATATGCAATCATAAATTTTTAATTTATAAATTTTTATATACTTATTATTAGATTATTACAGTTTTATCTATTGGTTAAATAATACAAAAACATTTCATCATCCTTGCATCCAAAAGTTTAGGTTTCATTTACCTTACTATGGTGAAATGTTTCGGCAACTTATCATCCGGAATGACCGTTTTAGTAGTTGTTTTATTTTATTTGAGGAGGTTTGAAAGTTTGTACATTCATACACTACATATACAATGAAATGTTTTAAAACCTTGAATGATAGGGCGTTTTTTTTTACCCTCTCATGTATTTGCATAATTGATCACATTATTTCATCTTTTATTTTGATAACCGAATCTGTGATATAGTGTGTGTTAATGGCGAACCTATCATTGTTACAAATCTTCCCATCAACTTTTACTTATCATACCAAACTAATAACAATTTTTAAAAAAAAAAGATTCTCAGTCTTAGTTTAACTTACAAAAAAGGGAGGAGGCTAATAGCGACATCCATAATGTTGACCTTAGATCATGTGATTATTCTATTGCGTCAAATCAAAAAATCTGCATTAATAAAATTGTGTAACATGTTTTATTTTTCAAATTGTTCATTTATTGTCGGCGGATACTTGATCTTGGCCGACACTATCTAACACTAATCTTAATTCTGGTCAACATTCCGTACCCACCTAGGTGGATTCAGAATCCACATAGATTCCATTCGTACCTACAACATATATACCAATAATAATTGCACTTAAAATTTCTTTCGTTTTCTCGTCCGATCATTCATTAAAATTATCTCGGATACGTAAGCTTTACGCGTCAGCTTTCCCTCTATAAATAATTTCGCATGAAAGTAAAACATGTTAGTGTTAAAAGAACTTTTGATAAGTTGGTTTTCATTTACACATTTTTTGTAAAAGGTTTAACCATTTATTTAAAAAGAAATTCTTTGATTTTTTTTTTTAAAAAAAAAGAATGCTGAAACATACCATAATTAATACCGTTTTACTTACATGCTATATTATTTTTTTTTCTTTAAAAAAAAAAGTGTTATTACATTCAAAATTGTCATAGTAGTAATTATTTTCCTCGCATATTTGTCATGTAATACCATTTTTCTAACCAATAAACATTATCTCCGCGCATATTTATACATTCATTGGTTATATTAGTCATTATGTAAATTAACCGGTTTGATTCCTTAATTATAACAGCAGATTAAAAAACGCTTTCTTTATTAATATACTAAAAACTAATACCGTTTTTGGAATAATCACTTGAAAATATATGGAAAAAATATGAATTTCTTGAAAATTTTTATATACGATTTTATTGCATTATGTGGTGACGTAAAAAAAATCCCAACGTGTATAGAAATAAAATGAAATAATTATAATAATTATATTAGTACCCGATGTGGTACATTAATGTTTTGAATGTAAAAATATAAACTTTTTTTTTCTTTTTTTTTTAAGTTATTCTACCATATAAATACTTTATCAATTTTTTTAACGAAATACGAATGCCGCCGAAATGTTTTATCAGCTGTGAAATGGTACGTCGATTTTTCTTTCTTTTCGAATACGAATGAATACATCGAAAGCGTTAATATAAAATATAATGAGAGCTAGCCTATATACAACAAAATAAAAAGATAATTGTTAATAATACAATAAAAAATAAAATAGCAAATATATATTTTGTGCATAAAAAAAAATTACCTCAATCGAAATATTTAACAGCGCAGAGTTACGAAACGAATACACACACAAACATGTTGAAATTAAAAATGAATGTTATAATGTTTGTATGGCTAGGTCATTATTATTATGTTAATGACAAAGATTCTTGAAGAGAGCATTCGAGTCTTTTTATATAAATTTTTTTTTTGTGATGATTATTTAAAAGCCATTTTACCCAAACGATAAAGTTTTAATAACAATTAGTAGTATATATACAGAGTATTTTAACTTGATAACTACTAAAATGTTTAAAATATATTTATTTATTTTCATAATTATCTGTATTATAATCAAGTTTACATACATATGTTTATTGTAAAAAAAAATATCTGTATTTTCGGTAGAAATAATTATAATAAAAATAATAAAATTATCAAAACATCACCCGAAAAAATTCCTTATTCATAACATGTTATCCCTAGTTTAATCTATATCCAATTTATTCATTGATAAGAAAAATGTTTTAACTCATGACAATATTTAAAATTTTCTATTGTTTAAAAATTTTAACAAGGGAGTAAGTAGAACGACAATCTGTGTTACCGGCTGCAAGAAATGATGGTGTTGTCATCTACATAGTTTCAAATATTTTTTTGCCCACATCAAAAAATTCTTCCACATAACCTTATTGATTTGTCATCCGTGTCACACTCTCCACTTTTCATTTTTACTAATAATTAATCAGGGGGAACTATATACCCTTCTTTTTTTTTTTTTTTTTTTTTTTTTTGTAAAAAACAATCGCTAATTTTGACCGATCAACCAATATTAATAATTAATTATTTTTGTTTCGGGCTCTAAAAAACGTTTAATTCTTAACATGGTTCAAGATTCCGCTTAATTCGTAAAACTTCCAATTTATGGTAACACAAAATAAACACCGACCGATATATGAATTCAAATATTTTTAAAATATTATATGTAAGTTTAATTTAAGAATAAATTTAAGAATAAAGATTATTTATATACAACCAAACAACTGAAAATCCTCATCAGAATGTCAAATTGTCAAATGCTCATGTTAAATATATAAAATGAATTGTATATCCACTGAACTCCTAGAATATATCCACATACCTTGCTTGCTTCCTTGAACGGTATTTTTCGATGTGAAACAGTTATATTGAGATTAACCATCTAATTTTTTTGCTCCGAATATATCTTTAATTTTTTACTAAGCACAAAATCACATGATCTGCATTCTTTTTTCGAATTAACGTTACATTATATTGATTTTTATTTTATAATTAACAAATATTGACATGCTTTTTTTTTAATATTCATAATATTCAATAAAATTAAATTATTAAAAAAAAAAATTGATACGATCTCTACTCCAAATGTGATTGAACATCTTTCAATGGAATATTTTTTTGTTCTTTTATTAGAGCCCGTATTTTCAAGACCTTCCGACAAATCTTCTTTTAATCGAAGTTTGGATTGTTTAAGATATAATACATGTTAGTATGAGTTTTCGAATCTAATTTGTTGAAAAGTCCCTCAACCTGTTGTTGGTGAATGATAATTAAATATATATGTGTTTTAACGAAATTATATAGTTGTATAATATAGAATTATCAGTCATCAAATTTTTTGTTATCTAATAAAATTTTTCCTAAACCAAAAAGTATTGCAGTTTTCACAATTAATGTCATTTTCCAAATCTTTTGCAAATTTCAACTCCAGGTGAATTAATCCAAGTCTTTTAAGAATTATATAACCAAAACTGTTGGAAATGGTTAGGTACGATCTCCAGGCAAAAGAATTTATAATTAATAAATAAATTTGTTTGAAAATCCTTACAATTTAAAAAAATAATTGATTTTAATTAAATAAATAATTTTTATAATTTTTAAATAAAAATTTTTAAAAATAATATCACTTATAAATTTGAAATTTATGATTAATTTTGTAATTATTATAATTTACTTATAATATTAAATTTTTTTTATTTATAAAAAATAATATTTGTTATTACCTAAATAAACTATTATATTGAATTATCTAACTTTTATTTTAAAGTAAATCACTAATATTTCCATTTTAAATAATTACTATTATATATTATTTCTTATTGCATAATTTACTTATTTTATTTCTTATTGCATAATTTACTTATTTTATTTAATAAGTTGATAATCTTTTTATCAAATAATAATATAAAAAAATTTTAATAAAATTTGATATAGTTATTCATATTATATTATATCTTTGTAATTTATAATTTGCAAATGATTTCTGTTTTTCAAAAATATATTTATAAATATAATCTTTTATAAAACTCATACTATTATATAAAATCTTATTTTAAATAAGATTTAATTTTATATAAAGCCTATATATAAATTCATATAATATTATATAACCTTATATAAATTAATTATTCAACTTTACATATGAGCTTTTGTAAACTTATGTTTAAAAATTTTTTTCCGATTTAAAATAAGTACAGTATATTATTTAAGTTATAGATTTTATATTATTTTTATAAATTTGTATAATTTTTCTTTTGTTATTTTTCAAAATGTTAATAGTTTTTTGAAATTTTTAGATAAATTATTAAACTCTTAATTTTTAAATATTAATAACATAAGTAATATATTTATTACTTTTATTTAAAAATAAATTAATATAATAAGATAATATGTTACAAATTAATTGTTTTTATTAAGATAATATTTAAATTTTGCTTTATCACAATTTGCTTTATCACAAGTTTAGCTTTGGAAAGTAAATTATCTAAATCACAAAATTTTTTTGTTCTTAATAGTAAACTAGTATTTACCGAATATATAAGTTAATTATTGAGTTAAATAATTATTAAAAAGAAAAATATAGTCGTTTTCAAAATGTTATCGACCTTCTTATTTCATTTGTTGGATCTTATTCACATAATGCATGATGAAATAAAAGCTTCTATCATGTATGATGATATTGGCTTGCATGCTTAATTAATCAATATAAATTATACATACAAAATAGTCGACAAAGACAATGATTACACCACAAAATTAAGTGAAATGAAGCTGGAGTCGGAAAAACAATACATGAAAAACACGAGGATGCCAAATTAATTATTTCTATAGATTTTTATGCCATAATTTTTTTTTAATTACCTATAAATCAAAAGAAACTAATTGTTTAATTATTAGAGTTAAAAAAAAAAAAGTATAATGTCCTTTTGTAAATGAGGGTTCTCTATCTCTTGTTCCAATAACCGTTTATTTATTTATTTATTTAGGAAAATAATTTTTTTTAATAAAATTAAATCACATACATCATTTAAATCATTTTTTTTTAACCGAAAACTATAATTAACTACCACCTTTCGAACTACATGAACTTTATTGAAAGGGAACAAATCGAACCATTAAACTGAACATAATAGGGAATAAAAAATTCCAAACAACCAATAAACCAACAGAGGACAGAAAAAAAAGGAGTAAAATTTTAAAGCAAGAATATATTTTCCAAACAACCAATAACAGAGAACATAAGGAGAAAATATTAAAGCAAGAATATTATTAATATAATGTCCCTTGTCAAAGCTACATAGCGTCGACATTTTGTGTGATATATGTTTATAAATTTAGTAAACAACAACTTTTTTTATATTGCTCTTGTCCACAATAAAAAAGTAAAAAAAAGAATGGAAAATTATCGTTTAAAATTTATTAATGATAAACCAAAATAAGATTTCTTTTTTTTGCTTGTCTCATCATCATTTGAATGTTATCGTTATTACTAACGCGTGTATATGATTATCCCGAAGAGGTTTATTGCTCTACCAAGCCAGCTTTTTTCATGAAAATTTATTCAGACACACGTTCTTTTTCGAGAATAACCTTTGTTTTATTTATAATTATACATGGAACTATCCCTGAGAACTGATTATTATTACTATGATTATTATCTGTATGCCATATCAAATGGGTGAAATTAAAGGGGCTTTCGACAGGATAAACGGAAAGGGAGTTTTGTTTATTTAAGTAATCGTTGATACATATATATACAGAGAACCAATGAGCTTAATTCTTGAATTTACGAAATTATATACATGATACATTGAGAACAAAATCCTGGTAGTAGGTGCCATGTTTTTAATTGGAGATCTTCATTCAAATCACAAAACGTTGAAGAAATTTTGTTGCATGCATTGTATTCGTATCAATTGATCTGAAATAAAATATAAAAACCACGTATTCCCGACTTGGATTTTTTTTTTGTCTTTATTATCCAATTTGCTTGACTCCAAACAATTTTTTTACATTTTATTTTTATCATTATTATCATTATTATAATTATTTTTTTTTTTAAAAAAAAAAAAATTAATCTACACGATGGAGCAAAAACCAAATAATTCTGCTTCGAAATTTTTGAAACTTTTTGAGAAAGCAAAAGCTAACATTTCCGCTTTTTGCTTCTTCGCCACAACCTCCAGCAATAGCAGTAGCGGTAGCAGCAACACAAACAACAACAACATCAACAAAGGTTCTGAATTACCTTCCTATGTAAAACGAAGATTAGAATTAGGAGGAATGAGGGTCCTTATCTTAGGATGTGGAACGGGAACCTGGTTATTGGAAATGGCTGAGAAATATCACGAATCAACCTTCTTCAGGTTAGATGATTCATCAGACTTTCCCGGTGGTGAATCATCACATCTACAAAACGCGGGGGTTAAGAGATGTGATTTTCTATGTGGAATCCCGTTCCACAACTCGACCTTTGATCTGGTCCTCGATTTCGTGGATAGATCCATGCTTTCGGGTTTTCAAAATGAACATCTTTTTTCTGAGGTTGTTCGTGTTTTGAAACCTGATGGTTTCTTGGAAAAAATGGAGGATAAGTAAAATTCGAAGTAGATCAATGTGGCTGTTATTGTTGTTATCAAATGTTGTTGAAGCCAACTCTTACATTTATCGTTTAGTCAAAAGTTATATTTTTCCACAAGAATTTTTAGATATTATTTTTATATTATTATGTATACACCGGTGGAATAATTAACGCACTTACATTTTTACCCCATTTTATGTTTTTTGTAGAATAAGCAATTAAACTTTTTTTTCAAAAAAAAGATTTTTGTAAGTGACTTTAAAAGGGAATAAACGGATATTGAAGAATAAGAAATAAATTATTAGAAATTAGTGTTTGGTGCCGAAACCTACATATGCCGTTCGGCAATAGTCAAAACCTAGTTTCGGAATTATTTTCTATATGCCGATGCTGAAATCCGCCAAAATCTACATTCGAAACCAGTACTGAAATGAAAATCAATACCTCAAAACCCTAAAACAAAAATATAATTTGCATTTATTTTGTTTAATAATTAATAAACTTTACATTAGCTGGTTCAATTATAAGTTCATTACTAATTCGTAATTACTTTATTTCGTTCACACTTTACATTCCTATTATAAACCAAAAAAAATGAAGATATATTATTTCAAAAACATTGCTGCTGCTAGTTCTGCTAGATTATAATCCTCCTAATTATTAAAAGCTTCTAAATCAACTGTCTCATTCATTTCACTTTCTAAACCTTGATTATTATCTTCATTATCTCTCATAGCATTTTGCAAAAATCTTGATAAATCCAAAGTTTTTCAATTTCTAAAGGGTCTTCAGCAATACTTTTAAATCATCATCAGTATCTGGTCATTAAACAATCTTTTGACTAAGTTACTTCTTCTTCATCATCATATATCTTCGCATTTTTCAAACATACCAAATTTCTTCTTCAGATTTTCCTATTCCATGATATTTTTCAGATTTATTGTTAGAAAAGAATCTGCGCAATTGCATCAAGATTTTCCACTAACAGCCTTGTATGACATGTTCCATGAATCCAATCACAAATTGACCAAATACGTTCACAACTTACAGCATGTGGTGAAATTGAAAACAATTGTACCGCAAAAAATTGAAGATATGACGGATCCATATGACAAGTTGTCCACTACTTCAGAGGCGCATCATAATTATGAAAATAGGATGTATTATAAGGAGGCTGATGTAATTGATAATCACGTAATTGTTACATGAGCATTTCACCAGCTTTTCATTTACTATGATTTTTTTTAGCATAATCAATACTTCAGGTATATTATCATTTGTTGCCAAATTGTTGCTGCTGTAATACATATCTGAATAAATTGACTTTTTATAATTCCAGCTCCTATAATAATTTATAAATAAAAATAATTTATTAAAATAATCATTACTTTTATTATTAAAAATAAATAATTCATTTAAAGACAATAGATTAATAATATAGAATTCACTACCTAAAATTTAGGATGTAAATAATATGCAAATGTTCATCAAAATCAAATTCATTAAAATAGGTATTGAAACTTTTGCTAATAAAACATTTTATGATCTGCTTCTGACATATTTTTTATAGCAGCTTCTAGTTGTGTAAGTGAAAAGAAACAATTAAAAAGATTGGTTTTTTGCCTTTCTAACTGAATAATTAATTCTTTTATTGGCTTTATAATAGTGGCTAAATCTTGAATATCTTGAAAAAATTCTCTTTTATGCATTATAATATTTTTATATTAATAATTACATTTGAATTTTCATTTATTATTACTTTTAAATATATTTCTAGCCAACAGATTGATTAAGGGATTTTATATACTGTAGTCTATCTTGTATAAATATATATTTGTTTACCCTATAAATAATCAGTATAAGGAAAGTATACGGAAATAATACGTTTAAAAAACGTATAAAAAACGTAGAAAAAC